TATAAATATGCTGGAAGTTATTCCAGCAAAAGTAAAGAAATATTAGTGCTTACTTTTTTTATTCGGAGGGGGTATTGCATTTGTCGTGAGGTGAGAAACCACCCTACACAATGGACGAGTCGGGACTCTGAAAATCCCTAGCGGGCAGTCAAATTTCAAACTTGAACCCGTCCCGAAAGGTATATAGTCCCTTATATTGATCTATACCTTTATCTGGTAAAATATTCATTTCTAGACCTTCTAGTTGCTTTGATAAATCTTCATTTTCAAACTTGCAACTGTAGGTTGGCGAATTCTGGTATTTTATTTAGAAATTCCTGTAAACCGGTTTACTTCTTAGGCAGGAATGAAAGGAACTTCTTTCCTAGAGACGCTAGATTCTTTCGCCTGATTCCGAAGTGTCTAGACGTGTATACAGTCTATGTAGAAATTGGCGCATTCAAAGTTCCATTTCTATCTTGGAAGATTTCCTAAGCTTGGGTAAGTTGATTATAGTTTACGAGTACCATAATTAATGTCTTTCTAAGTTGGCCACTGCTGCAGAGAGGGCAGAGGCAGTTGTGTGATCGCACAGAGTTCCACCGTTCTTGATGTCCAGAGATCAGGATCCGAACCTTAGACCTTCCCCTGTACAGACTAATTAGTTAGTAATCTACATAACCCCCACCATTTGTAAAGACATTAAACTCTACCGGTAATTATTCTCTGACCAGTCAAACGAAGTTTGGGCCGCACAACTGGAATAGGAAATTTAGGTCATCTTTAACCGACTGTCAGGGCTAAGCGCTCTGAGTCAAAGGTGTGTTTGACACAGATTCAGTGGATGTGTAGTGTAAGGCCTGTGGAAACGGAATATATATAGGTACTAACCGTAAACATGGTATGTCTGCGAGTGCAGATGTGAAGGTGGAGAGAGGATGATCTATGTGTGGTAGTGTCTGTCTATCTCAACAATATATCTGGTTTTCTATCTATTGCACTAGTTTACAGACAGATAAATGAAAGGAGACATTGTCTCCTGGTCTTGAGAGTACACTCTGAGGAATGGAGAAGGGGAGCAGAGGTGGGGTGAGCTGATGTGTGATTAAAGTTGATTACTAATTCTGAGTTCTTTCCTGACAGGATGATACCTCCTTAGTTGATTACTAATTCTGAGTTCTTTCCTGACAGGATGATACCTCTTTAGAGATCAGGCAGACGCATCACAGTCCAGCCAACAACCACCAACCCATACCATTCTATGCACCAAGCATAACCAAAAGTCCTGCCCTTTGTGCCACTACCTCAACATGGCAAGAGCGTGTTTGTGAGCTCCAAGACGAGTGGACATTTGCAGACATCTGTGTCATCAATCTAGAGAACCAGTCAACTAGAGGCATAAATACCTGAGTCAACTACAGTCGAATCACCATGGACTGAGGGGAGCATCGACCTACGAACTGGGATAAGTGATCTATTAATTACCATCATGCTCTCTTCCCACAGCTACTTGTGATTTCAATGATGAACTCATGTACTCTCCTGAATCAAGATCTGGCTGCTTCAATATCTGGGTTGTGTCACTGATTCCTGAGCTCCAGTCAATAAACATTCTTGAGAATCTATTCATTAATACATGTATATATATTGTACCAATTACAAGCACAAATTTTCATGGCTGACTTGGGTGTCCCTATTTCACCATTCTAACTGTCTAGCTTTGATGATTGTGTGAGCAATAAGTGTTATATGTGTTAACATGGTTATGATAGTAGACTATCATAACCTGGGGGCTATCTTTTTATAGTAGTGGGGGTGTCCAGCCAAGTGTGCCTAGGAATATTATATATTTTGTAGTGCCAAAACTTGAGTTGCCCTACTCCTGAAATAAGTTGAGCATATATTGGCCACGGGGCATCCCTTAGAGTGCCTTAGACCAATACGAGCCAACGACTCAACATAATTAATTCAGAGTGCTGTTGGTTCTTAAGGAGAAATTCTTGAATCAGGCACGCGACAGGAGCGATATGTGACAGCATTAGAGGACCGGGGGGGGGGGGGGGGGGGGGGGGGGGGGGGGGGGGGGGACATTTGATCTTTATCAAATTTAGCAAATTAAAATACTGCTGTGAAAAATATACATATCATAAATAATATGAAGATAAATTATTGATGGTTATTATTATTATTAATAGACTACTACAACATAAGTAGACTACTACAACATATAATTATACTGTTAGTTAATGATATGTGCAATAATTTTTCACTTAGAGCAGCTTTCTTAACTGTACTATAGCACTAAATATTTATCCTTCAGGTAAAAACAGCACAAACAAATTTGTCCAGTTTAATCTTGTTGGATAAAAATAAATTCACTATCATTGTGAATTTTTTAGTAACTGTTTAAATACATCACACATATTTCTGAATACTGCATGCAACAACGTGTATTCGTATCATGTAAGGAAAGAAAGCAATAGTTTTTCTTCCAGAGCAATTTTTATAACAATACTATAGACTACTAAATATTTCTTCTCTGTACTTTATACAAGTCAAGATGTTCATAGACATACATGTATGTTTTGAGATGCGAGAGGGCAACAATCAGTGTTTACCGAAACAACTTAATTTAGATTTGTCCAGTTTCCTATTGTTAGAAGTTCCTTATCATTGTGAAATTTTTGATAATTTAAAAAGAAAAAATACATGACACAGCGGAGATACAGTTGCTCTAGGTGTGAACAGTTTGAGGTAGATGCTGCATTCAAAACTTCTGCTGGCCCAGTACGGTCTAAGGTAGATATATGCAAATCCTGCTGGTGCAGTATAGTCTAAGGTAGATACATGCAAATCCTGCTGGTACAGTACAGTTTGAGGTGGATGCTGCATGCAAAACTTGCTGGTACAGTACAGTTTGAGGTGGATGCTATATGAAAAACGTCTGCTGGTATAGTACAGTCTGAGGTAGATGCTATATGAAAAACTTCTGCTGGTATAGTACAGTCTGAGGTAGATGCTATATGAAAAACTTCTGCTGGTATAGTACAGTCTGAGGTAGATGCTATATGAAAAACTTCTGCTGGGATAGTACATTCTGAGGTAGATTCTACATGGAAAACTCCTGCTGGTGCAGTACAGTCTGAGGTAAATGCTGCATGCAAAACGCATGCAATACAGTTTGAGGTGAATGCTGCATGCAAAACTAGCCCAGCTATGGAAGGATATGAACATGTTTGCTCTGTTAGGTTAGTTGCGTATCCTTTACAGGACGTTGCAGAACTAACCCCACCAGCCCCTGGCTGCTGTGTGGTTTCACTAGGCAAATTACGTCCAGTAGTTTGCCATTGCCTCCTGGACGGTCGGCTCTCTGATACAACTGTCTAAACCAACGCAAGGCGTATGGCCCGCAGCTGAGATCGAACCCGGTACCCCGGCATTATGAAGCGTTCGCATCGACTTTGCCACAAAGCTGACGTTTGCTCTGTATCTTTCTTATTTATCCAATTTCGCCAAATACATTTCAGCGGGTAAACGGAGTCAGACATCAAGAAGATTTTTTTTTGTGTGCCTGGAATGCCTGGATTTTCTATCTATGTAGTGTTGGGCTTGAGAAAATTGTCGTAAACTTTGCGGTTAACAAAGTAGTTGTCTACAATCACTGCCAAAACAGTAAAGCCACACTCTTGAACAATGTTAAATGTGTTGAGTTTTCATGCAGGCTTCTAATAAATCACTGACACTGTTCGGAAATGTTGTAGGGTTAGTCTCGTTGTAATGAATCTGTCGATTTTCTAGTTGTGACTATCTTTCCAATTTACTTTCAGTAATAATCTAGTCAAGATCTTTACAAGCAAAATGTTTATTTTCAAGATACACTTCCACACACATGTCTGACAAAACTAATACAATAACAGGTGTTGATAGTGCAATGTCTGCTTTCACTGACTGTGCACGAATGATAAGTAGGCTGTCAGATCAGGAAACACAGACACACATTTTATTTTAAAATAGGGTACATTCTGGGTAACTCATGTTCAACATCAGATTTATCTAATATTTATCAGATACGGTCCTATCACAGGGACAAAAATGATGACCACGACACACCACGCTGTGTATTTAGTCGGACTATTCTTTACGTGGTATGCACTTTTTCCATTTCTTCCTCAAATCAGAATCACTTGAAAATTTAAATAGTCACACATTCACATAAGAGAATACAGCATTTTATAGGCATTTTTATAACCACACTCCACAAAACAATTGAATATAGTTAATGAAGCAGCATCCACAACGCAGCAAATAAATATTAATGTAAACACGCCGGTCAACGATGAACGTCGGCCCTCCGTATAGGATGTGATGAGAACGGTCAGTCGGCGTATATAGAGAAGGCGGTGGTATAGCCTAGCCATAGATATGACCTAACGCCTGAAAGGAGTTTCTTTAACCTCTCCATGGGTGATCCTCATCCGCATGGTGGCACTTTCTGTCATCGGGTGTTTGTAGCTTATGTGATGTCCTAGCGGGGTACAACTACCTACCTACTTACCTACCTCGTCCTGATTATCATCTATTCTTCGCATTCATCGGCCGTAAACTTTTGGATATTAGCCCAGCTTCGGACCTGAGTCTTGTTTCAGAACTTGTGTGTCGTGTGCACATCCATTTACACATCTCACTTTTTTTGATTGCAGACTGATGGTTCCTTGCCTCTCAGGCAGATGCACTCCGGCTTCGAAGAAAGCGCCCAGTTAGTCTACTCTTACGACGTGCTTGGTGGGGAAGCAGTTGGTCTATTCTTGTTTTCCCCATAATTCAGCCCCGGAATCGACACGGGGATGTAGCTGAAATATTTCCCATTTCTTGTTTTTATTTATTTCTGCACTTCTCACTCCTAGTCTCCCCAGCGTGTTGGTTGTGCACAGAAAAAGATAGTATTCACTGTCCCTGTATTACTTAGTCCTTTAAATATCGACCTGGCCATACTAAAACTGTACTCACTGTTTTCCTTACAGACACGAATACACCCAGTACGTGGAAGATACGGGCAATGGTACCTTGATAATTCGTTGCGGCAGTCATGGAGTTTCTAGAACATTTTCGATTATCAATGGGATTGGTATTTTGCTTTTAGCGTACATCGTACCGCTTGTGATTCTAGTGGTTAACTATGGAAGGTGAGATCTTTTATGTCTGTAATGTGTTTGTAAAGTGTATGTGATGTATCTGTAATGCGTTTATAATGTGTCTGTAAAGTGTATGTGATGTGTCAGTAATACGTTTATAATGTGTCTGTAATGCGTTTATAATGTGTCTGTAAAGTGTATGTGATGTGTCAGTAATACGTTTATAGTGTGTCTGTAAGGTGTTTATAATGTGTCTGTAATGTGTCTGTAATATGTCTGCAATGTGTCTGTAATATGTCTGTCATGTGTCTGTAATATATCTGTAATGTGTCTGTGATGTGTCTTTAATGTGTCTGTGATGTGTCTGTAATGTGTCTGCAATGTGTCTGTAATGTGTTTATAATGTGTCTGTAATATGTCTGTAATGTGTCTGTAATGTGTCTGCAATGTGTTTATAATGTGTCTGTAATGTGTCTGTAAAATGTCTGCAATGTGTCTGTAATGTGCTTATAATGTGTCTGCAATATGTCTGCAATGTGTCTGTAATGTGTCTGCAATGTGTTTCTAATGTGTCTGTAATGTGTCTGCAGTATGTCTGTAATGTGTCTGTAATGCGTTTGTAACACGTTTGTAATGTGTCTGTAATGTGCTGAGGCCATCAAAGCAGCAGGAGCAGCGGGAGCAACATTGTCGAAGAGAAAATTCCAGGTGGCATGGGAAAATCAAGAAACACTATCAAATTGGCAAACGGTTTTCATCGTTCAGATATGGCATTCTTTGAATTCATACTGGAGCAACATTGCAGATATAGATCATTTATTTCATGCGAACGAAAGAAGAACCCATGGCATTCACCAGTAAGTAAAACGTATATGTCAGTGACGTATTTAAAAACTAGTATTCGTTCTATCACCCCAGCATTGTGTTGTTCTTTCGCTCCCGTCGCCTGATCGGAGACGTCACGGAAAGTAACGGACTTACCACTCGAGCGCTGTTCGAAATTCGCATCAACGTTGTGAAGATGTTGACTCTGATGTCTGCACTGTTTACCGTGTCATGGCTGCCTTATTTCGTGCTGCTTATTATAGAGGTCAGTTTATGATTACTCGAAAATTGCTGTTATCTATAACACGCTGTAGCAGGGGTGGGGGGTACAGGTCTGGCCGGCGAAATCACTAATTGTATCTGACTCTGCCAAGGCAATGGTAATTGTTTCCCCAAATATACAAAGCTGATTTTTAACTCAATAATTTCTTCCAGTCGAACACTAGAGACAGGTATACTATTTGAAGAATGGCAAGCATGGCTTCAGTGATTCCAGGTAGTTAGCATTCTTTTGATATTTGTTATTGCCATGCCGGTGTGTTGAAAAAGAATAGGCAGGTAAATAAATCATCCCGATCTGATAAGAATGGCGTTGCGAGGAACGACCAGGGCATCTGGCCGACAAGCAACGCAAAGGTGAGACGGCGATACAATCAGGATGTTACTGGTGCCATCAGAACTGGAACTCTGCACTTGCTGCTGAAGACGAGGACGGAACTAACTTTACAATGAAAGTTCCCCGCTGAACAGCGAAACCAGGAAAAGTAACGAAAAGACACAGGTTCTTCTGTGCAGGGGCCATGAAACATTTAAACAAACCCTGGCTAAGGATATGTGAATAGTTGTGTTACACACCCAGACAAACCAGGTACTCGGATTAAAATTTCTAATTTGAATCAAACAACTGAATTATAATCATCACAATGAACATCTGTAACACTACACTAACGATTGACATCGTGTCCACGCACACATGTGCTAAGCACTTCATCTATCAAAGAAGACAAACAGAAGAAAAAGTTTCTAACGACATAAAATTAATATATGGATCTATCACTACTAGAGAAAATTTAGATCACATTACCTTTTAACTACTGAAGATTGTACCAACACCTGAGAGAATTCAATGAGCCACCCTCTCAGCTCTGTCCGTCGCACCTGAGCCGCGATGAGACCATGTACGGTCAGCATCAGCCACGACATGGCGACTAACCACGACCAGACGAGAACATACAGGGAGCCAAACCCAACAGAGCGCGTTTCCCGGTGTTTCGCATTTTTAATGCTCACGAATTTGCCAAATTTTTAGTTCACGTCCATTCAAAATCAAAATTATCAACAGGCCCGTTGGCACCCTGCCACACACACACACACACACACACACACACACACACACACACACACACATATATATATAGTAAAGGCGACCAACCTTATGTTGACCACATCACCCACCAAGTGCTGATTGGTCAATGAAATATAGGACTAGCCCTATATGAGCAATGTGCCTATGCGTGGAGCAGAGTAGTTTACTTGAAACTTTCCTTCACACACACACACACACACACACACACACCACACACACACACATATATATATATATATATATATATATATATATATATATGTGTGTGTGTGTGTGTGTGTGTGTGGTGTGTGTGTGTGTGTGTGTGTGAAGGAAAGTTTCAAGTAAACTACTCTGCTCCACGCATAGGCACATTGCTCATATAGGGCTAGTCCTATATTTCATTGACCAATCAGCACTTGGTGGGTGATGTGGTCAACATAAGGTTGGTCGCCTTTACTTTCTTTGACATTACCTGTTACCAATTTAAAGCTGTGTTTACCACAGAGCCAGGGCTATTTTTTTAAGAAAAAAAAGGTGCTATCAGGTTTGGATTGGAACCTACAACCTTTCTGGATCAGCTGGCCATCGTCTAATCGCTATATATGGGCGGCTGCTATATATATATCTACACACACACATATATATACGTGTGTGTATGGACTATACTCCAGTGAAATCAATCATGTGTGTGTGTATATATATATATATACACACACACATATATATATATATATATATATTATATATATAAACACACACACATATACATACATACATATATATATGTGTGTGTGTGTGGACTATACTCCAGTGAAATCAATCATGTGTGTGTGTGTGTATACATACATACACACACACACATATATATATATATATCAATCACAGCACATGCTTTATCTCATCTAATTATATTCTAATAATCCTCTAACTTGTTTATGCTTCACAGTTGTATCAATTTATCTCAACGGACTCAACATTTATTAAACAAAGTAATACCTTTTTATGACAATACAAATTTTGACAACATATGCATGGTAATGAATGAATTAATAAATCAACTTTTCCCCCCTGTCATCTGCACAGAAATCTACAGGAACTGGCAACTCGATTGACGCCAACGGCCCAGCTAAGGATCTCATTGTCCGTCTTAAGCACTACCTACAACTTCGGTCTCAACGTCTTCTACAACAGAAATCTCCGAACTGTCCTCAAAGCAATGGTCATGTGCCAGAAAGTCAGCACCAAAAAGAACACCGTTTTCATTGCTAACCATCGGCGGCAGTCACAAGCTTCGCCTGCCTGTGAGGTGATCCGGTCAAAGAAAGTTCTAGACTTCAAGCATGGATACATCTAACCACGTGCAGGCGTTTTCTTTTTATGTTTTGCGTGTACATCCGTTTTACTGACTTTTGTAAAAGCAGTTGGTTTTCCTTGCCGCTCGCGCATATGCCCTCATCATCATCAGGTGTCTTGCCGACTGGCGTGGGCGATCATGCCTCTCCATAATCTGCGATCTCCTGCAGCATGTATCAGTTCGTGTGTCGATACACCTCCATGCCATGCAACAAGACTGTCAAGCATCTTCTCTCGTTGTCTTCCTCTATCCCTCCTTCCACAGTGGTCACAACATGTTCTATATTCCCTCTTCTCATAACATGGCCGAAAAATGATGACTGTCTACTTCTGATGTTTGTGATAAGTTGTCTTCGGGCTCCCGCCCCTTTCAAAACCTCTTGGTTGCTCTTTTTTGGCTGCCCAGGGTATTCTAAGCATTGTTCTGTAAAACCACATCTCTGAGGCCTCTAAAAATTGTTTGGCCAGCCTACCGATTGTCCAGGATTCACAGCCATATGTTAAAACTGGATGTATGTAGCAAGCAAGAATTCTTTTTCCAACTCTCAATGACAAGGATATATTGCACAAGATGTTTTTCATTTTATAAAATGCAGTTTTTGACTGTATAATTCTGTTTTTTATTTCAGTTATGAATCTTTCATCTGATGTTATCCATGTGCCCAGATACTTAAATTTCTGTACTAAAATAACACCATTGACTTTTATTACCCATTTAGAAACAATTTGTTTCTTTGATACCACCATTACTTCTGTCTTCCCATTATTCAAACTGAGGCCCATTCTTCCACTTTTTAACACCACAATGTCTATCATTTCCTGTAATTCTTTCTGACTTGTTGCTATCAAGACTGTCATCAGCATAACGTAAATTGTTTATATTGTGCTCACCAACCACAATTCCGGGTATATCAATTAACGATCTCATTATATATTCACTGTATATTGAAAACAAATCAGGTGAAAGTACACATCCTTGTACGCCACTCTTTATGCTTTGAAATGTACCTAAACAGTTGTTTATTCTTATAGCTGCTGTTTGCTGCCAATACATATTCTTTATTATTCGTAGATCTTTCCCATCAATGTTTAATTGTTCGAACAGTTTGATTACTTCTTCATGCTTCACAGTCAAATGCTTTTGTATAGTATATGAAGCATAAGTACAAATCAGTCTTTACTTCTATAGCTCTTTCTGACAATGTCCTTAGGATGTATATGGCATTGTTTGTACCTTTTCCTTCTACGAATCTACATTGTTCATCAATGATTTTTGGTTTAATTTTGTTTCTCATAATTATTCTCAGTAAAATCTTAGTCATGTGACTCATAAGACTTATTGTGCGATGGCATATGTCCTACATATTAGAAAAAAGCTCCTAATTAGTCGACTCCTACAAAATGCTTCTTCAGGAAGTTGTGAGTCGATGAGGCCCGGAATCCACAAGTCTAGTTTACATGACTGGACACATTAAATTTATTTAGCATATTAATGCTAAACACCCAAAGACAACGCCCCTGCCATCTTTTTTTCCTCTCGAGGAAATTCACATTAGAGTTGAGACACTCCTCCCCTTCTCTCTCTCTCTCCAGAAAAAAAAAAATGCAAGGGTTCTAAGGCCCAAATCTCACTCAGTCTGCAAAACTGGTCTTTTCAATCACCTACGTAGCCTACTGTACTTAACGAATTAAAGACTGCAGTCACCACCGCTTGTGATTAACGAACAACAAAACATTTAAAGAGTCCTATCGGACAACAACCTGTTGATCTGAAATGCTACAGAAAGTTTTTAAGAATAATGTCGACCAAGAAGAAAAAAAAAAAAAGACATTCAGCATGACCTGAATCTCAAGGAGAACTGGCTCGTTACAGCATCCTCTCTCGAAAGCTGAGCTATTTGGGATATGTCAACTGCAGATTCAGAAAATGGTGAGTGGCCTGTCGCCTGAAAACCTTGTGGTGCCTTATGCAGTTAACTGCGTATACGTTTACTTATCTGTGCAACTGCTGCTTCTATAGACGATGAAATGCTTTCTGGACTGTTGATACTTTTGGCCCATATCTAATGCATTTTATGCGCTTAAACTGCAGTCTGTGTCAATTATCACCTCCTTACAGAGATCAGCGATGGATTTGTTCTGGTTGTCGCTATAAGTTAGGACTGCTATTACCTGGACTCCGGGCAATACAGTAGGATCGATGTCTTCTTTGAAGTACGACTATGACACTATGAACCAACAATGCGCACAGAAATAACCCACATCGGTATAAGGAATGTGCATGAACAGCCAAGTAACAAGACAAAACTTCAGCAGTGGAAGAACCAGGACTTTTCAAGTGTGAACAAGAATTGAACAGAAGCCAGTCCCACAAATTCTTAACCGTACACGAGTTGAACTGAGAGCCTCCGGCAAGCCTATTGAAGTTGAGGTCTAATGGTCGAAAATGAGGATCTTCACAGGCCACAGCGTAGGAAGATTGTTACAATAGTCCAATGATCAGCGGGCCACTTGCTAGGCCTCCAGCGGAATAGAATGGCCCACGGTTATGTTCAATGAGGGTGGGTATATTCACACTACAACTTGCCCCTTATTCATTATATCCCCATTACACATAAATTTAGCAGGGAACATCCACAACTGAAGCATCTAGTTGCTGTATTGCAACGGCGGTCTGCACGACATGACGCTGAGTAGTTAAAAAAAAAAAAAAAAATCGAGCACCTTATGCTGGATACACTATTGGTGTTAAAAACACGAGTGCTGGAGAGGATCAACTGCAACTTCTTTTTATGAGCGGGACAGGTGTAGCCAACAGTGGCTTCCTGCTCCCAGCATTGGTTACCTAGGCCCCTTTCCATCTTGGAGGCAATGCAATTAGACTACTTATTTTCCATGTGCATTCTAGAAAGTCTTCAAGCACACTTAACAATATATGTATTTCAATCGCTTTAGAATATGTGTACTGTTTTTTATAATTACGAAACAAATTAGGCAGAGGAAATTTGACAGAAAGAAAAGCATTACTCTCCTAAATTGATAAAACCTAAAACTGGTTTAAAAAGCCTAACATGTTTTGGAGTTATTTAAATTTCTTGGATAAAGTTTCGGATAAACTCATGGAAACGGCACAGTAACGAGATGGCTAGGGTATAAAGAACACAGACTTCATCCAAGACAAGAAATACGTCAATCAATTTTCAATTATTTTTAAAATAATTTTTGCCAGTAACATTTCCACTTCACATTACGCAAAGAAGTTATACAAGACCCAGTTTTACATCACGTCTTATATTTGCAGCATCTGATTCATTTACACAAGAAAAATCAACATCAACCCATGTGAAAGTTTCACAACATTTAATACACAAAGCACTAATATTACTCTATCTACAAGACATCAAAAAATAAATTTAACACACAATATGCAAGTGAACAAGCCAAAGAAAATCTGTTTCAACTGTTAGGTGTGCAAACAAAAGAAGAAATAAACCAAACAGAAAAAAGGGCCCCACGATTCCTTAGCTACATTAACCCCTTAGCTCTAAGTACTTCTTCCATCAAATTTTTCATGTATTTTATTTCCCGCTGTAAATCATCAACTTTTCCCTTTAGCTCCTGATTGGCTTCTTCTAACTCTTGCTCCTCTGATTTAATACCCACAGCTTCTTCCTTCTTCTTCATGCGGTACCTAATTGCTGCATTTTTATTTTGTAGTTTCTTCCTGTCCTTTTTGCTGAGCTCTTCCCCGATGATGTGATCTGTAACAGGCTCTGTAGGTGTTCTATTCCTACCTGACCCTTTAGTTTGCTTTGATGCTTTAGGCTTGGAGTAAGGTGAAAACCTCTTGGTGTCTTCGATGGTTGAAGTCAGAATGACTCTGTAGAGCTCCGGGCTGGACTCAATGATGCTACTGCTGTGACTGCTATTTGATGGAGAGGTTGGCACTGACGACAGCATGCTGTCAACATCATCCGCCGACAGTGGGGAACTGATGAATTCTGTTGCATCATCAAATGTGACCTCCAGGCCATTAAAAATAGGATCACCCTCGCCTACAGAGGCACTAAACTCCTCGCCGAACAACTGTGCTGTGTCTGGGCACAAACTGAGTGTCCTCGCTTGCACACCTGTTGTAATGTCTATGGGTTCTGCCTTAACTACAGGAGCCACCTGCTCTGGAGAACTGGGTGGCGACAGAAATGCATCAAAGGAAACTTTCGATGTGCTAATCCCTGGAGATTGATCAGTGATAGGTATGGCACTCAGGAAATTTTCTATGGAACTATATAGTGCTGCATTTTTATAAAGTTTTGAGTTGTGTTCAGCAATGGGCTCAACAAAAGTGACAGGCTCGTCAGGAGCTATCGAATATGTGTACTCAATCAGACCGGCATCCAGTGGCAGCAGCTTGTCACGGCTGTTGCCCATGACCTCCAAAAGAGAGCCAAGGTCCGATGACTCCATCCATTCAGTTCCCAGGATATCTGCAAAGAAAAAGTTGTTATGCTGAAACCACCAAGCAACTACTGTTCAATGCTAACACAATGAGGTCCTTCATTTAATTCAATCTGCCAAACACATAATTCTTATCAAAATATTATAACTACTTTTTTTTGGATTATCTTCTTCTTCTTTGCGTTCACCAGTTGCTAACTCTGGTGGAAAGTTCTCTTCCAGAACCTGAGTGTTACGTGTGCATCCGTTTGACAGATCTGACTAATTTGTGTGCAGACTGTTGGTTCCTTGCACTCCGACTTTAAAGCAAGCTCCCAATTAGTCGGCTCTTACGACATGCTTTTGGGTAGGCAGTGGGCCTATTCTTGTTTACCCTATCAGCTTACGTTTACTGGCACGATACATGATGATGATGATGATAGCAAGCAGTTGGTCTATCCCTAATCCCCCCCCCTCTCTCTCTCTCAGTGACGCTTCAGAGCCCATGGCATTCACCAGTAAGTAAAACGTATTTTTGGATTATGGTTTCAACACTTTGCTGACCAGCAATCTGTTTATAATTTTTTTTTGAAAATGACTGATTTTCGAAAATCAATTTAAAAAAAAAAACGAAACTTTCAGAGCACCATTACAAACGGTTGCTAAACGTTAAAAAAGATATGCAAATATATGATCACGGCCATCATCTTGAATTTATTATTTGGTCATTTATAGAAATTTCAGGAGATGTTTCAAAACCAACTTTTTCCAGTTCAACTAATCTATGTCATTAAGTCTATCATCATTGTAGCTTCTTTTAGTTGCAAAATGACAATAACATTCACAGGCAAATTTCTACTTATTCAAGAATTATCGTTTTCAGCGCTATATTCACTGTCAGATTCCTAATAATCATCACTACAGCTGTTTTCGTCATCAGACATAATAAAAAAGGCTGAATATGCGCTGGTAACAAAAATTACCAAAATTTAACTGAAAACAAGCTTGAATCAAATTAAAGCTATATCGATCGTAGGTGCAGCCATCTTGGAATAATAAATACTCGGATGAAGCTCTTTAAAAAAAAAACTATTGTTAGGGCTGCTTGTTTGCGTCTATATGTCACGAATCTGACAATCGTCGAAGTTGGTCACCAGGGGATATAATTGGAAATTTGATGATCTTTAAAGTTGATCATTAAAGTGTTAACCAGCCTCCACACTAAATGGAAAACTTAAGTTAAAACTATAATACACATTAATTTAAAAACAATTGGAAAAAAAATTAACAAAGTATTTTTGATTTTTAATAAAAGTCTCCATCGGAAACTGACAAGAATTTAAGAGACACCTCAAACAAGATGTCCCACTGAAGAGTAATAAAAATGATGCAAGTCATACCTGAGCATAATCGGAGCCATAAAAATGAAGCCTCTGTAGATTTAATAGCAGTAAAGAGGAGATGAATATTGACAGACAGGCACACAGAACCAGTAACAGGTCTAATTCAAACCATAAAACTTTGTTTCAGAGCTGACATCCTCTACAACTTTAATAAAACAAAATGATTTAATTTCTGTGAACTGTTTTGGCTCTGACCTCATAATTTTTCACATTTAATTTTGTTGTTCTTTACGTTTGTTCACTAGTTGCAACTCTGGGAAGAAAGTCCTGGCTGTCTGTCCACTACAGCCTCAAACCAGAAGTTTTTGTTCGAGTTTTACTTGCAAATTCATTTTACAGATCTGTCGTTTCTGCATGCAGACTCAGTTTCTTGCCACTAGGTCTACTCTGTTCCTACATAAATGAGTCCTCGGAACTCAGGCAGGGACCCTCACTGTGTAAGAAGAGATCCATTTTCATAGCACAGAATTATGTCACCAATGCAGAGAACTCTCAAACTATGCATTCCTTCACCATGGTGGTAGTTTGTGGTCCACATTCATGATTGCTTTTTTTTAAATCTTGAGTTACAACCTTAAAGTAACACTAATACTTATCTTCCAAGCTCTATAATCTAAGCTACCTTTTTTAGCAGTCACCAACGGTAAATTCAGGTAGAAAGTTATGGTTATTTACTAACTTCTTTAGTTTTGTTCCAGAACTTAAGTTTTGCTTGCATTCCATAAAATTGGACAATGTCTCGTATTATCTAGGAAGACTAGGCTTTCTCATAGCACAATTTTTTCCGGTGTGTGATTTCGACAGACTTCATGTCTAGCACTTACAACAGAGCATTAGTTGACCTAAGCCGATGCCTAAGTACCCGCAACAGAGACCGTGGATTGTCTCCTAATAAATTTTTTTTAAATGTCCTAAACAAATGATTTTGAATTAAGAATCGACATCATAGCACTCGGGGCACCCCTATAAGCGCTCCGTCCCTATCTTCAGCAGGAAGCAAAGAGTTCTAATTTCGATGGTAGCAGCAACTGTCTGTATATCCGTCTCGCCTCTCCCCTGAGTGTTGACCGGATCAGCTTGTAATTCCTCCCAGCGCCATTCTCTTCAATGGTAATGATCCATCTGTGCCTCTGCCTGCACATATCATATCAAGAGCTTAATAACCACTAGGTTTGAAAATTCAGCATACACCAGACACAGAACCTGCAAGTATTTACCTTCATTTCTGGATGGAGATTCACTTCTCACACGCTCGACAGCATCCTGGAGCTGAAGGCTGAGAGGGTCGTTGCCACAGAGGCAACCTTCTGACTTAAGGTCATCGAACAGGCCACCGGAGTGGTCGACTGGCAGGCTCCAGTCGCCGGCAAGCAGGTCGTCGTTCCACATGTCCAGCTCCATCACGGTCAAAGGATATAGGCAAAAAGGTTATGCAAATATGGTAGTCTATAAATCTGGGGTTGATAGCCGAAGCTAGGTATGTCTCTTGGAAAAGTCTGAGGAAGAAAATAAATGAAGAGGGTTACTGTAGGTTGCTAATCACATGCAAACAAATGCTGCATTAAGTGGCACAGAATATCCTTACCACTTTATGCCCCTAACACACAAATATGAGTATATATAAGAGGAACTATGGGATTAACTGATCAGTAGTCTAACAGTGCAGCAGAGCTATTCAAGTGAGTTTACTCAGTGGCCATAATATTGAATATGGGGATTGTCCCAGACCAGAGACCCAAGCATTAACATAAGATCATTGAGATAATACAACTGGCAATGATCACAGGCTACTTGCAAAGTTTACACTGACTGCCAGCGGAATAGCCCTGCAGTAAAGTAATGATGTTTACAGTGGTTTTCACAAATCTAAAATATCTGTAACCCTTAAAAAAAATAATTTGCTGTTTGTCCAAGCACAATCTCAGTCTTCTTCACGTTTACCAGCTGTAAACTCCAGTTGAAAGTTCTGGTTGTTCGTCCAGTTCTGGCTTTATTCTTCTGCCAGAACTCAAGAGTCACATGCACATCTGGCTTAATTGTATGCAGACTTGGTTTCTTGCTTCTCAGGTAAATGCATTCCGTAAAAAAAAAAAAAACAGCCCTACCAGTCGGATTTTACAACATGCCTGTTAGGATGAAAGTGAGACCACCCCCCCCCCCCCCTCCCTCCAGCAGCTTCTTCCCTTTTATTTGCTCGTGAGTCTCAGCCATGTAGTTTAGCACCCCCTCCACTCGGCGGTGGCAGTATAGTCGCCGGAAAGAAGACTGCAATTTACATATTACCGAGGCCCTGTAAGGGTATTTTCAGCTATCCTTTGAATAACGGGCACATATTATGGCGGCCAAAAAAAACAGGACCTCAGGCACGTGTCAATTGCGCACACTAATTTGCGGGTTTCCGAGAGTATCCCAAATGCAGCTCACGCGGGCAAAGTTGCAGGAGATGTGGAAGCTGCTGCTCGTGAGTCCCAGCCATTTAGTTTAGCCCCAATCCATGGCCCTCAAGCAGTGTGTTGGATACTCTTGGCGGTGGCAGTAGTCGCCGGAAAACTAGGATTACTGTCCGCTAACATTTTCGAGAAACGCAACAATACACACGATAATAGCGACATGGTGGGGAGACCACGCGCTCTGACGCAGGTTAGCGATAGTGTTCTTCTGATTAAACTCAGTGCCGAACGTATCCCCCTCGCTGCTACGCGCGGCACGGATGGGGGCTAAACTAGATGGCTGGGACTTACGAGCAGCAGCTACCGCATCTCCTGCAACTTCCTATTTGCTCGTGAGTCCCAGCCATCCATCCGCGCAGCGCGTGGGATACTGTCGGCAGTGCGGCGTAGTCGCAGAAACAGGTCCGCATTTGACATATCGCTGAGACCTTGTTAGAGCATTTGTTTGCCCTAAATAATATTGGCCCTTTATTTGGAGGCAATCCTAGTTTTGCAGCGATTTGTTCCTCGGCAGGCACTCTGCATCTGACACATGACTGAAGCCCTGTTAGGGTTTTTGTTTGGCTGCCATAATGTGGGGACAAAGTTCGAAGGGCCATTATATAATTCGTCACACATGGAGACAGGGGATGGAGACTCTACTGGAATCTGAAACATTTGCTAAAATGGGTTCTAGGCAATTTACAGGAGGAATACAAACATTACAAGGAAGCCCCCTTGCTAAAATAGAATACTAGGAATCTTGAGTCTCACTAAGATTTGAAACCAATGGACATAGATTTAGAACTTGGTGACCGTGAGAACTAAAAAGGGCGTGGCAATTAGTTTTGCATCTCAAGTACAGTTACTATTAAATACGTCATGTACACGTTAAAACATAATGTCATAAACATCTTTTCAATCAATATATGTGTGAGTTTGAGTAGGGCTAGTAAAAACTTGTAAACATGGATAAATGGAAGGTAGATCCGGATCGCCATCATCATCATCACGGCACGGACGTCTACAAGTTCGTTGACTGAAAGCTGAAGCAAACTGTTTTTCGCAAAATTTTTCAATTCAAACAGCATATAAATTCTTCAAACAACAATAAAATATGATGAACTTACGCCATGTTGTATCTGTGCCCGTAGGGGCGAAAACTGCAGTCCACCTCAAGCTGACATTGTCACAGGGTATGCTCGGATATGTTGTCTCTAACGTGGCAGAACTAGAAATGGCGCTTGTCGCTCGTGGAACTACTTCCCCCAAACACAAATACAAGGTCATATATTACTACGATATTAAAAGAATAAAACCTTTTCACGTTAACTATATATTAGATTTATATTAAATATAAACATCTAAATGTCAGAAAACAAATAATTTTATTCTATATAACAGAAAATATGTGGCAACATCTTGATTAATTTACAGAATTATATGTTATTGGGTTATGATAAATGCAGTATTCGGCCAGAATTGCATCAGAAAATTTTGGATCAACAGACACTGACGTCACAGTCTATTTTTACTTGGGCCTGTCCTGACAAAAATAACCATTTGATCATACACTAATTTCAGATTTGTATGTCGTTACGACATTAAAGAAGACTTTTCAATCAACGTGGCATACATAATTAACTGCCCGTCAGTGATGTTCAACTGCCAGAGAGAAGGCAGATGTACGGTTACATAAATGTTAGCCTTCACAGCGACCTTCATGCAGCTGTCAGCGCAAAACATTTAGAACGGGATACAAACTTCACAACAGCGTTGTTGCCAGTCGTGTGTGAGCCGCAACTGGGCAACTGTCCCTAGGCGCCGGATTTGGAGGGTCCAGGCGTGTGCGTGCGCGCGCGTCACACACACACACATACAGTTGGCCAATAATGTTTCAAGGAGGCTTAACAGCTCCTTTAAACCACGTGTAGACATTCGCTGTAAACGCATTTATTTATACATTTAGTATTATTGCAAATGTACTATTATCTTTAATTCATTTACCACAGTAGTATTATGCTCCTAAACTAGGATTAGGCTCCCGTTAGCCTCGCCCGTTCGACTAAAAATATTTATGACGGGAGACAGACTGAAGGCCACATCTATGTTTTACTCTGTGTTAGCGTGCCTACAGGTCACCTGCTGACTCTGTCTTTACTCTTATTTGTGCCCGGCTCTCGAGCGTAGTTGGCTAAACCGGATTGCGCGGAGACCGGGTGACGAACTCTTTGTGGTCCGGGTTCAATCCCGGGGGTAGGCAGGAAAGCCACATTTCTCCCAGATTTACGGTTTTTACAATGGAATCAAGGCCGAAAGTTTGCGATATCCATAATACCGAGCCTAAGCGTTACAACTCATGGCTTCTGGATACTAAAACAAACTCTTATTTGTGTGTGAGTACTTACTCCGGTTTCAGCATCTTATTTTGCTTAGTCAGCTAGACAGGCGTACTGGCACACGGTACCGAACCATCTACTCGGACATGTGTGTAAGCCTTTACGCTTGACTCTGGCATCATAGCCTCACTCGCACATCGCCATTTGTAATTACACCAATTTAGGTTTAGACGACAGATCAACATCGTAACACAAGGGTAGTAACCCATAAGTGCTCCGTTCTACTTTTGAGTCCGAATAATCTCAAGAACGAACTCCGTAGCACCGGCGAGGATCCTGAAATACTTTGGTTAGATTTTACACTCCAAATTTGGCCTGCACAGCGCCGTTGGGCTACTCTTTTTCAATTTCCAACTGTCGAGGGATTTTCTTACACCTGTCTCAGCAGCCGACTTGTCATGGTTGTTTCGTTGTACATCTCAGTATTGTATTTCTCATATTTTCAGGATATTACAGTAGCGCTGGGGAAACGGATGCCTACAGGGTGCCGGTACTATGTACCACCAGAACAAAACGCATTGTGCGTATCCTTTCATTGCGGCAATGTCAAACTACTGACAGGCCTAAATCCCTCATATACAAGCTTCAAGTACGCAGCTGTTCAAGTCGACTTCGTGGCCACCATAATTGGACTCCCGCCCACTTCCCTCAGCCTTATCTACGCCCACCCACCACCTCACAGGCTGTGCCAGGCATACCCTTCTAGTCCTTCTCAGGACTAGCAAACCTACCAAGCCCGATTTAAGCCACAGTTGCAAGAACAGCAAGGAACACTACAACTAGACGTGAGACAACGTCACACGAAAACAAATAATCAAAAACCGCAAAGAAACCAGGACGCAATTAAAACCAAGCCCCAGAGGCAGGTTGAAGCCGTCCGAAGTTTTTCGTTTTTTTTTCGATTTTCAATCAATCAATCAATCCATAATTGGACGGAAGTACGGAAGTTAACGCGAAGATGACGTCATCAGAGTGTGTGAAGCAGGGCTGCCAATGATAGGTTTTTTACCCCCAGATCTGGGTTCTTATTTGACGTCTTGGGTTCAAATTTTGAAATCTGGGGTTAAAATATATATATATTCTTATATAAAAGTGGGTAAATGTTTCATTTCATAACTATAAAATTTGAACTTTTTAACGATCTGGGTTTTTTTAATTTTGTTCTTTGCTTAAGTATTGCTTGGGTTTTTGTTCAGCTTAGCTGGGTTTTAACAAAAATCCCGTTGGCAGCCCTGTTGAAAAGGTCCCATCAAACTACACCAGAATAAAAAGACGCAGCAAACAAATGTCGGGAAATAATCGGATGGGTTGGCCGAAATGCTATGATTATGATATTGTGGCGCTATTGTAAAAACACACACACACACACACACAACTGTGTGTAAACGAAAAAAGAATTAACGAAGATGAGGAAGAAAGGTGAAGGTATTACTATTAGCATGCAAAGGAGGAGAAGAAGCAGAAATAACCAGGCGGAAGTACATATGCTGGATAAATGAATATGGGAGAAGATAAGGAAGTAGATAAGAATTCGCAGGGGAAGGGGAATCGATGATAAAATACCGAATAAGGG